GTGATCTCTCTCTCCCAGGCTCATCCCCATTACTGTTGACCTCACTGTGAACAGGTTAGAATTGGAGGAGATGTGATAGTACCAAGACCTGCATAGGAATCAGAGGCAGGGGAGTGGTGACATAGACAATCAATCCTTGACTCCTGGATGGAACTTTCAAAAACAAATACTATATTCTTAATAAGGCAATCCTCAATTTGTGTTCACAGTTTCAGGAATAAGCAAAAAATGAAAGCACTTCCGAAATAATTTCCTTAAACAGAACAGGTAGCAGAAATGTATATGGCATTTGTGCTCATGATATGAAGTAGTTAAGTTTGTTAGAGAGGACAAGGTGAGATTATATTCAGGGAGCAGATTGCTTATCTGAAAGGATCTGGAAAAATGGACTTCAAAACCTCTTTGGATGATCTCTACACCTAGAGCCCTTTATCCTGTTGGCACAAAGAAAATGTTTTTAGTTGAAGAGGGCTTCCGTGCAAATTCAGTATTTATGATCTCAGCCCAAGGGTTGACACAGATCAGCAGCCATCATCGTTATCATGAGTAAACACATTCATTTTTTATATTTAGAAGTTTTCTTTTCTCAATCAAATCAACAGCTAGGTATTTTTTTAATACAGTCCAGTCTGCTCTTTTGGTATTTCTGTTCCCTGAGCTTTCTTCAGTAGGTTGAAGATCGTGAACCAGAGCTGTCTCTCAGACTTCTTGCTGACTACCTGGTTTTCTTTCCCTTTTTTTCTTGTTGAGAACAAAACTGAAAGAGAGAAGAGGTGGCTATGCTGTTACTAGTAAAGAAATACAACTGGATTCTAGCCTAATGCAGTCGGCCCTTTGTTTCTGACACTGAAGTCTTCATTAAATCCCTTGGAGCTGCTCCCTGGAGCCCCTGAAAGAGGACTTTACGGGACTTAAATTCTTTTTCCTTTGTTGGAGAACAATGTCCTTTTCTCCTGAATATGGATGATGATCAGTTCATTCAGAGGCTACAGGATTTAGGGGGGAAAAAAAAAAAAAGGAACCAAAATGTAAAGTGACTTCAGGTGATTCTCTTATCCTTGAAACAGGGAGATGAGCTTCCCCTTAAGAAGAGTCCTCAGATTAGAAATGAGAACATAGCTTTAGGACTGGAGGAAACAGCAGCAGTAGCTACTTCTTTTTTTTCTTTTAAATCAAAGTATGGTTGATTTACAATGTTGCATTAGTTTCAGGTGTACAGCAAAGTATACATTCAGTTTTACATATATATATTTAGCAGTAGCTACTCTACATATACTTTAGTAGAGGGCAGTTTCCTGGTTTGGGACTGAAATGATTAGAGGAAGGATTGTGCTTTATCCTCCCATGTTTGTAACCACTTGTACAGTTTTTGTCTTGGTCCCAGGGCATTTTAACCCTCTGAAGGTTAGTGAGTAGGATTTCTTTGTAAGATAATGAGAGGCTTGTCTTCCAGCAGCGTATACAAAAGGTCCAGTAAGACTGCAGTTTTCAGTCTTACAGATGTGTCGAGGGATTATCAATTTACTATATTAAATACTCTGATTCAGAGTGGCCAATTTGGGGTTACACGCCTAATATGAACTCGTGTTATGTTAGTAACAAGGAAAAGATTACTACTGAATATGGCACAAAGGGTTACATGTAAAAAGTATCAACTTTAAACCTTGATGAAAAACAGGTTTGAAACTAATGCTTCATTTAAAATACTACGTTAAACAAGAGCATCTGTTTTTGAGTGTGCTGCGCCACCTCTTATTAAGTGAGGTTTAGTTGTGTCCCTTCAGAAAGAATATTCTTAGGCTAATAAATTTAGTGTATATTTACATGAACTTTGTACATCCTGCCATAAATCTCTACACTGAGGTGTTCTGCGTGCAAACATTTTTACAACACTTACTTATACAATTAGTTTATTAGCTTCATTGCTTCGAGGGGGGTACTTTAAATAATAGTATCTTGCTTCGAGGTGGGTACTTTAAATAATAGTATCTATCAGAAATGATCATTAATTTGACCCTTATCTGCCCTTGCAGTATGTGTCTACAGTGAGCATTTTATTACCTTTGGTAGATAATATAATGTTTTCTCATTTGGCAAGTGGATGAAAGAAGAATGAGTAGAAACCAAAATGAACACCATGCATAAAACACACTGACATATTACAACAGACATTGTTCACAAACCGCCTGCTGGCTTTAAAGAAAAGTGTAGCTTCAATCAGTTAATGTTGTAGTAAATCGTTCTTTTCATTCAACAAGTTTTGAGTGAAATTTTACTGATTTTGAAATATATATTGGGCATGTCCTAACAAAGAGAAATATTCTTGTATAGAAGACAATTTTCTTCCATCTAGTGCTGCTAAATAAAGAAGTGAAATTTCCAAATATATCCTTTTAGACTGACAGTACAGACTTAAGTGGGCACCCTCTCGGCCCTTAAGGCCTACAGAGTGTCTGAGGGTCCTGTTTAAAGGTTAGCATCATCCAAGTTCAGGCGTTGGTCAGGGGTTCAGAAATGAGGGACTCCTTCTGCACAGAATCCCGTTTTAGTCCCCTAGTCTTTGGAGAGACTCATGCCCTTCAAAGAGTTTCCTAAAGAGAAGAAGGTGAGGGAAGTGACAATAGAGAGAGGCCCTGATTATGAAATAGGTGATTGAACTTTATTTATTTATTTTAATTTATTTTATTTTTGGCCGCGTTGGGTCTTGGTTGCTGCGCACGGGCTTTCTCTAGTTGCGGCAAGTGGGGCCTACTCTTTGTTGTGGTGCGCAGGTTTCTCATTGCGGTGGCTTCTCTTGTTGTGGAGCACGGGCTCTAGGTGCTCGGGCTTCAGTAGTTGTGGCTCACGGGCTCGGTAGTTGTGGCTCGCGGGCTCTACAGTGCAGGCTCAGTAATCGTGGCGCATGGCGCACGGGCTTAGTTGCTCTGCGGCATGTGGGATCATCCCGGACGGGGGATCAAACCCGTGTCCCCTGCATTGGCAGGCGGATTCTTAACCACTGCACCACCAGGGAAGCCTGTGATTAAACTTTAAATGAGGTCCCTGTGACTGCTCTCTTGAACCACCAAAACCGCACTTCACAAACGTGCTAATACCATGAGCCCTTTGATTGTCCAAGGAAGGAAGAAAGGTCTGTCTTTTAAAAAGAGAGCAATTTATTTCATAGATTAGCTTAAGTAATGACTCTGGAGTGTACCAAGAAAGCCAGGTAGGCACTTCATCAAAAACTTAGACCTCTTACCGCATGTGAATTTGGTCTATGAGAAGAACCTGAAGGAAAAAATGTTCAGGTTATACAAGCCCTGTTGGCCAAAGAAATGGTCCCGTTGTTACTATAAGCAGATACCCTGTCTCACTTCTCCCAGTTGGGCTCAATCCAATTAATTCCTAAACCTGGCCTCTTTCAGCCCCTTTATCTCCTCAAACACCAGTCCTTGAAGAGTCCCTCATTTGGGGCCTCACAGTAGCATCCTGCCCATGGTTTAGAGCCTTAAGTGGTGACTGTGGAGAAGAGTCAAGGGAGAGGGTGGAATACTGGGGACCGGCCTCCCCTCTTCTGGCCACATCGTTAGTGTAAACCTCATGGACACAGATAAAAGAAGAAAAATCGCCTGGCTTATTAGAACCTTAGAGTTGATAATTACAAAGAATAAAAAACTTTTTTATAAAACTCTGAAGTGGAATGATAGTTATTCCCCTGACGAGGAACTTGGGTCTTGGGTTTTTCAGTTCAATTCAGTAATCATTCTGAAACATCGTATGACCAGTGATTTCAGTGCTTTTGGAGTGTATCAGCCACTTGATCAACTTTGTGCAAAGAAAGCTGCCTTTATAGTGTCTTCAGTTTTGGATTTTGCTTAGGCGTGCATCTTTTCCGTGGCACACCCTGTGTTTTCATGCATTTCTCTCTCCCCAGGCTTAAAACTAAGACAATAGGGAAAGAACGGACTGGAGGCTCTCTGAGTGTCATTCTTCTTGGCTAGGGAAAAGAAATGTCTGTCTTCTTTCTTCTCAGCCTTTTGTGAAGTGAGGAGGAATAGTCCAGCCCCAAGACCATTGGGCTCTTCTCTGTTGCCAATAATCTTGTGCCCTGGCTTACTAGAGCCTTCCAGAAGAAAACTTAAGTGGCCTACATGAGTTTACATACAAGATTCTCTCTTGAAACCCCGCGAGAGGCGTATATTTGCAGAGTAATTTCCTTGTGGTTCCTCCTGGAGCAGGTGAATAGGAAGAGCTATTTAAATCAGAATAGTTTCATTATGACACAGGTCACAGTGGGTTTCAGGTCATCCTGGCCTTGCAGTTAATAATGAGGTTCTGTGAGCATGTAATCCTGATGCACTGGTGAGAGAACATGGGGATCAGCTGATGCCTGATCAGAGGCCAAATCCTCATGAACCAGAGGTGCCACAGGCCCCAGTAGCTGACATTCTCTTTGCACATATGGAGATGTTCCATTCACACATGTGGAGAGATTCCCTATCCCTGAAGGCTGTTTTAGGAATGAAGAAAATATTCCAGTTCAAACGTGCAAATATTTAGCAATTCTGCTTTGAGCCACAAACTTCAACTAATCATGCTCTTGGCATTTTCCAGTATCCTACCAGGATTGGCAGTTAACTTATATAGCTCTTGATGTAACCTTCCTCAAATAATTATATCCTCTTTCCTTTTCGTTTGTTTCTGTTTAAGTAGCTATTACCAGGAAGGCATTTTTTTTAAAAACTCAAACCTTTCTTTCTCTTCTTCCGTTTCTTCTTCAGGTGATACACCTCAACACTGTCTTCTGTTATTAGTGTTCAGTGGTCTGGAAGATATTTTGGAGCACATTTTATAAAATGGAAAGTTAATAGAGATAAAATTTTGTAAAGAGGCATTTGCAACCTTATTACTAATGATTATAGTGAATTTTTCTTCGGTATTTTAATTATTTTCTGTAAGCATTCGTGTAAAATGAAAATAAGCTACAGTAATAACATTCCCTATTTTGTGGCACTTAGGAACCTGTTTTATTCACTGGAACAATGAGGAAAAATCTGGATCCCTTTAATGAGCATACGGATGAGGAACTGTGGAATGCCTTAGAAGAGGTAATTTATAAAATGTAATTAATTTGTTAACATCAATATATATGGATGGGCATTTATAGCATTGCAGGTAATTAAGGGGAGCTTATAGGTTTAACTGACTTTGTTCACCTCCTAGGAGAATACTGATGACGCGGTGCAGTTAAAATGTGTGTACTGACGACGATGGAAACCGACAACATGATGCGTCATGCTTTTTAGCATTTGCCCTAGAACCCAAAGCAACTAGATAGATTATTTTGTCCTTAGCAGAGCACCAAACTAGAAGTTAAAATTATGGGTTTTAATTCTAATAGTGACCTAGTGAATTAATTATCCTAATTACCCTGCAACATTCATCTTATTCCTCTGGTCTTAGGGAACATCTACTAAGTGGATACAATGATAGTTTTTCATTATTAACTGAAAGATAATTGAAATCATACTAATAACATGCTGTGAAGTTTTAGAAAAAAAATTGTATAAAGGTGAACTCTACATTTGGAATGTGATAATAATTATTAATTGGCAATCATGTCATTTTAATGCTGCAGCATGAATGCAGGTAACAGAACCCTGGCCCTTTTGCTCAGTTTTTATATGGATACGTTCATTTCTAGAGGATTTTCTCTCATTTGTGTAGTGTTTCACTTTGGACCACTTCTTTGAATTTCCTTACTCTTGCATGAAAAGGATTCTGAATGGTAGGGTGCTGATGGTTTGTATATTTTAATACTAATTATTCTGTGCATGTGCCCTAGTTCTGAAAATTGATTCTAAGCTACTGATGGCAGAAACTATATCTAGACTTCTAAACCATACATGGGTTTTTAATTCCTCATACAACCTAGCGCAGTCTTTTGCTTTTAGAAAGTAAACACTTAATAAACAGTTACTGAATATTTGCTTGATCTCTTCATTTCAGAGAAGTGTGGCTTGTTTATTTTTTTTTTAATTGCGTTTTTATTGTTGTTGTTTTTGTGTAAATCCCAGTGACCAATTGCTCACATTGTTGTTGTTTTGAATTTGTACGTTTTGTCATTTAGTGTCACCTCTCCAAGGTTAGCTGTGAAATCTGCAGTTTATATGGATGAGCTTGGACTCTGAGCAAGCTGATTCGGCCCTACAGTTTTTCCTGCCAGTAATTCTGGTTTCTGAAGGCAGATTCTCTTTGGCAGTTAAAAGTTTGTTTGTTTTTTTTATTTAAATCTTGTAGTACAGTTTAATCTTATAACAATCCACTGCTTTAAACACCATCTATACCCATAGTCTGGGGGAAATAAAACTTTATGTTGTGTCCTGTTTTTCATGAGTTTTCATTCACTATGAAACATTAATGAAATTGAAGTAAATACCCTTGACTGGTCTAGCAGTATGGTGTTAAACTTGGGAAAGAAGCATCCCCCAAATAGGCTCAAGGTTTACTGTGGTACAGTTTGTCATAGTCTGAATTTTTTTTTTTTTTAAACCTTTAGACCTTCCAGCATGGTAAAGTGCTGATGAGATTATGTCTCTAGAGAACCATACTTCCCACAATAATTTAAAAAAATGTTCTTTCCCTGTAGTGTACTGACTCCTATCAGCCCTAAAGATCCTGTTTAGATCACATTGGGAGAAATAGCTTTATTTTTTGAGAGACTTCCTTAACTAATCCCTAGGTGGGGTTTCTGGTGGGTGTCATGTGGCGGTGATGGGGGACAATGAGATCTTTCTGTCCTGAGTTGACTCTACCATCTTTCTCAGTGGACGCTACGTGGAAGGAGCTCTTCCCATCACCTGGCTGTACATGTAAGATACCTAAGAAGTCCTGAGGACTTCAAAGCTCTAATGTCTAAAAGGCTTGTCTCCTTCATTAGTAGTTCATTTAGGAAAATGTCGTTCTTCTTTCTGTATCCACAGGTACAACTTAAAGAAGCCATCGAAGATCTTCCTGGTAAAATGGATACTGAATTGGCAGAATCAGGATCGAACTTTAGTGTTGGACAGAGACAATTGGTGTGCCTAGCCAGGGCTATTCTCAGGAAAAATCGTATATTGATTATTGATGAAGCCACAGCAAATGTGGATCCAAGGTATGGAGTTGAGGTCCGTGAAACTTGGAATCTGAATTTTAAATGTGGTAAATGGAAAACATTTAATGTCGCTGAGAAATGTTCTAAGCATTCTCTTTTCCCCACAGATATCTCTTGATAACATTAATTGCAGAAAACAAAGGAAGAAATCAAAACCTTATATGGTTATATGGTGTTGTTGTTACTAGGCATCCTAAGAGAGCTAGATTCCTGAATCCAGCTCCTGATAGTTTCAAGTAATTTCGAGGGAAGACTATCTTGCGTTGTTTTATGAAAAATCTTCTAAGGAGACTTTTTATACTCAGTTTTTGAAGAGCAATATTATGTCTTGAAGTATTGATTTTTTAAAACATTATAAAAATATGTGATTTTTTTTTTTTTTAAGTCCTAAGTCTGCTATTTCTGTCTTTACTGAACTAAATTCAACTTCTTTGTTTCCAGGACTGATGAGTTAATACAAAAAAAAATCCGTGAGAAATTTGCCCAGTGCACTGTGCTAACCATTGCACACAGATTGAACACCATTATCGACAGCGACAGGATAATGGTAAGACCCTCACCTGTGGAATATCAGTCATTCCCGTTTATGTTCAGTTTTGTCAGTGTATCCTTCCACAGCAAACATGATAGGAACCTCCAATAAGTTAATTTTCTCTTAAGTTTTCCTCTCATTCCTGACAGTAACTCAAGTACTTACCTACACTTTCAGAATATGCTATTAAATAATATATCCAGTAATTTCACATTTTCCTATTAAAAGTTTATTTGAAATGGTATTTTTCATTAAGATGGCCAACCACGAAAATACTCCAAACCCAAGACACAGCTTCATATTTCAGTGTTCTAGAACACAGTCATTCTTCCTTTGTCAGTTATTTTTTCAGATTTTTAGATTCCCTTAATCAAAAAATTAGCCTTTCATTTAGACTGCCAAGAGGTTGGTGGGTACGGTTGCAGAATTTCTCAGCTGTTGGGACTTTCACAAGATTTCCTGTCAGAGGGGAGTCTATGAGAAGAAAGGCCTAGTGAGAAAAAGAAAGTATTTCAACAGAACGGATTTAATTTAGGAAATTTTACTATATAGGAATTGGAGTCATGGGAAAATGAAAGTGAACACTGTGTAAGTAATGTTAGGAAGCAACTATCTAGGACAGATCTGCAGACCTAACTAGCAAGTCTCTTTCACAATAGATCTGGGCACTGCACACATAGCCGACTCCAAGCTTTGGTCTCCGTATATTTGTCTAGTATCTTCCTTCCAGATTTGATTGGCTCTGTCTTTCTTAGTAACTTAATGTTCATTTATTTAGCTTTATTTCCTTCCTTCCTCCCTCTTTTACTTTTCTCTCTTTGTCCTTTCCCTCTGTTGCTTGTTGAGTGTCAGTATATCTTAGGGTGTGGCTTTATAAAATGATAAGATAATCATCCCTCAAAGGAAAAACCTTTGACTGCAAATAAGCCCAAAAGAATGCAAGTTATTTTCAGGCTAACCCCCAGCCTGTGGCAATGAGCTGCTTCTGCTCATCTTACAGATGATAACTGTTGTCACAAGGTACCACCATATCCAGCGATGCTCATTAGTGATGAAGTAAGTAGATAAAGAAAGCCTGCACAAGTCATAAGAGGCAACAGATGCAGTTAACTAGTGATTTTGATGGTCCGTACTAAGGTAGTAATATACGATCAGTAATGCCCAAAGTCCCTTGTGTCCAGTGATAATGGAGGTGTCCCTTTTGACTTCTTGGGCAGTTTCTGGAATGTCACCTCCCACGCTACTTCATGTGCATTGTCAGGTGGGATCCTCAGTGGGGGAACTGACCAGTCTGTCAGCACTGAAGCAGCGCCACTAGCCTCCCTCCGCCGAGCTGGACGTGCACAGAAATGAGCTCTGGGGAGGCAGACGACAGGAGTGGGGCATCCCCAACCAAAGGGATGCTCTGGGCTCCAAGCAGTGTGTCTGGTCATCTGGACTAGCACATCACAGTAGGAAGCAGGCCCCACCGGCAGTCTTCTGCGCGGGACCAGGTGACATTCCAAGATTGCAGGACAGTGACACTTAGAAACCAGGAACATTGTTTAGCATGGATCAGCCTTAGTCCCTCATTTTGTGTTCTTGAATGCCAGTTGGAAAAGTATCCTTTTATTTCTGTTCTTTACTTTTCGATTTGTTGGTCTCATGTCTCAGCATTGTATTTTCCAGACTGTCCCTCAAAGCATCTTTCTTCCACAAGAAATGAATGATGCTGTGTAGTTTACCTATTTCAAGCCCTTTGTCAGTATTTCGAGGCAGCAGCAGAATGGTGGCTTGATCTCCATCCAGTTCCGTTGGGGGATCCACGGAATTTAATCATTGCTCCTAAATGTAACCTGGAGATCAATTTTTGGTTTTTGGTATTACAGCATTTATGGTAGCTGGTTTCTTTTATTATCTAATTTTTAGAAAAACTGTCACCGTGGAATATAAGATGGGTTAAAGAAACAGTGAGAAGGGACAGAATTTGCAGACATGTCAGCTGGTCACTCCTAAATCTTATCCATCAGCACTTGATCCACAGGTGTGAACATCTGTATCACCTTAGCCAAGCAGCTTTGTTGCCATTATCAAAATATGTCCATTTGTTTAATGCTTTATGTACCAGTATATTCTGGTAAATTTCTAGAGTCTCAAATTTTTCTCTCAGTTTTTCTGAACAAATCCTTAACATGGTTTTACAAAGTGGTTTACAGCTCGGCCCCTCCCCACCTTTCTAGTTTTGTCTCACTGTGCTCTTTCCTTTAGAGCTAAAACCACACTGATGGTCTTTCAGTTCTCCAAATGCAGTTTTCACTCTCTCTTATAATTTTGCCCTCTCTTTTAATATTGGTGGCTTAGACTAAGGTGCTAGCAGTGGAAATGGTGAGATGGTTGGATTTGGGATAGACGAAAAAACGGAGCCAAGTGAACTGTGTGATGGATCGAACGTGGGATCCGAGGGAAGAGAGAGGAGTCGATGCTGGTTTCTGGCCTGATCGTCTGAGCGAATGGGGAAGAAGGAGTCCATTGGGAGAAGGGAAATGCAAGGGTTCTCATTGGAACCTGTCACCTCTGCGATGATGACCAACATTGTTTTCTGTGGTGGACCTTGCCCTTCACCGTGGAGCTGCCCTTCGCACTCCTGTGTTGGCAGACCTTCAGTTCAGGGCTCCCTGGTCAGGGTCATCGGTGATGTTGCAGGGAGGTCCCACCAGGAAATGTAAACATGGCCACTTGTTTATATCTTGGTCCAAGCTGGTTGCAGTTGCTGACTCCTTAGACCTCAGGGGACCCAAGAGACGTGCATCCCCTAGCTTCAGAGCTGGGGAATTGTTCTCTGTGGTCCCATCCACCCTAGGCGTAAACCTTTTATGTTGTTCTGGAGCTCCTGATTACCAGTTGGCTTTCACTTGTGCAAAAATCTCATAAATGATGTTCTTTCCCACACCTTTGATTTTTGTGGCAATTTTTTTTTGCTTGCTTGATTTAGAAATATGGGCATACCTTGTTTAATTGTGCTTCTCAGATGTTGCATTTTTTACAACATCTGTGAAGCACATGGTCTGTGGCAACCCTAAGGCAAGAAAGTCTATCGGTGCCATTTTTCCAACACATGTGCTCACTCCATGTCTCTGTGTCACATTTTGGTAATTCTCAGCACTATTTCACATTCACTGTTTCCACTGTCTTTGCGTTTGTTTTGGTGATCTGTGATCACTGATCTCTGGTGTTACTACTACGCCTTGCTGAAGGCTCAGATGATGGTTAGTGTTTTTTTAGCAATAAAGCATTTTTAAATGAAGGTGTGTATATTGTTTTCTCAGTCATAATGCTGTTGTTCACTTGATAGGCTACCGTGTACTATAAACATAACTTCTGTATGCCCTGGGAAACCAGAAAATTCATGTGAACCAATTTATTGTGATATTCATATCTTTGTGGTGTTCAGGAACTGAACCCCCAAAATCTGCAAGGGATGCCTCTTCCTGTTTGCTTTTCAGGAAGCCAGTGATTGTCTGTTCCTAAAGCTTTAAGGGCATAAAGACAAGTCAATCTGCTGCATATCCTGATGTTCCAGAGGGTGGGCGGCCAGCCTCGGGGAGCGGCTGGGGAAGTGACAGATGCTAATGAAGGGCCTAACCAACAGAGTTATCACCATAAAGTCATGTAATTACAAGTGCTTAAGGTGTAATAATTACATTTTGTTGCACTGGTGAATACTTCTGCACAAAGTCGGATGGATATGGTTTTGTTTACTGTAAGTAAATTAAGCAAAAGGCTTGTTGGGAAACAACTGTGACCTAATTAATAGCTATGTTTATGTGTTGGCTCTCCAAATGGATTTACCCAGTTTGGGTTCATTAAGCACCATTAATGTGTCAGGCTAAAAATTCTATTTTGCAAAGATGTTCTCTCAATTTTAAGTTTATTCAACATGATGAAGTCATAATGACAGCTAATGGAATCTTCCTTACTTTCTCTGTTGCCACAAAACAGTGGAGCAAGACAGACAAATCAGAAATCCTCTTCCTCCTAAGACTCAACAACTATCTCTACCTTAAAGGCTTCTTCCTGTAGTTTTTAGGATTAGCTGGTTGCTTGTGACCTGTTTTCTCTTCAGCCAATAGCACAGCTTTTCCCTCCAGTCCCTGCACACTCCAGTCTTCATATCACCGTGGAGTCTCCCTAGAAGTGTGAGCAAAGGAAGCATGTGAAAATCTGCAGTTGCTCTAACAATACTGTTGCCTGTGTTCAACATATTCACTGTCTGCAGTTAGAGAATTCTTTGGAAATGGATGATGAAGAACCAACACCAGGGCCAGGAAACTTGGATTCCACCTCTTCCGTTTATAGACAGTCTTACGGTTTAATATTCTTTGCCTTTCTTCCTCAACTCAGACCTCTTTTTAGTAATGTTTTCCCAGATGAATGAAAACCAGAAACTAATTTGTCACCCCTGACAAAAAAAATTTGAAAGCTGTCCTTATGCGTAGTCATTACGTTACTTATGCTTATAAGGGTCAAAATAGATCTTTCTGCCATTTATATTGTTGATCCTATTGTTTTTTGAGAGTGTTAATGTTTTTCTGGCTTTGCCTTTCTTAGATATTAGTCAATCCTGAGAACTACTCACCTCAGTGGAATCATGTATTTTAGACAATATGAAAGAAAATGAAAAGATTTGCTATTCAAATTTTAGTAAATAAAGTAGAAAGTTGGACAAGGACAAAATATTAATAATACTTCCCCTAAAAAATATATAAAGTCTTTATAGTCAGAGAACTCATTTCCACCAACTCTGAAGTGGTGATTTTTAAAAGTTGTTGCTTTTGAAGAATGTAAAATTCTTCGTTGTGTGAAGTAATTTGATATAATTATTTACTTTGTCTTTGGCATGAGAGAGACCTATGTTTTAAAATTGCATTTTTTTTCTTCTTCACCGTCAGGAGGAATGGTTATGCTCTATAATGCTACGCATAAGTAAAATTACACATTCAGGGCATCTAAATTGGCATGCCAAATTATACGACATTTTAGTAATTACGTGGATGTAACAGATTCAGTTATTCTTAAACTCTTTTGAGAGACCTGCTGTTAGCAGTGATTCTTAGCAGTAAAAGTTTAACAGGGAAATGGCCTTTATGAGAGTTAATAAATGTTTCCGATTGAATACCCTGGGACCAAATTAACTGTTAATACCTAGATGTGGAAGAACAACCTGTGTCCTGCTTAGGGTTTCATCGTATTCTCTTACGATACATTTACTCTAAATATGATCTAAATGAAGAACTAAGTACCACTTAACATCAAAACTGTTTTCCTAGGTATGTCATTTGGGCCAATTATTTCGGATTCTTTTTTTTCCCTCTGAAACCATTAACCAAAGCCACTAATAAGTAGAAAGGCAGAGTTAAGAGCCTTTTCCTCTTCCTTTCAGTTTCCAATTAGTGGACATATTAATGAGCAATAAAATGGGTGAAAGGAAGGCAGCTGAAGAAAGAACAAGAAGCAAGGAAAGATAATTTGTGGAAACAGATTCAGATCCTTGGTAATTCAGATTGGGCTGCCCCCGTGTGCTGTGCAGGCCGTGATCACTGGAATTTGGAGCTCAGTTTCTTAATTGCTTCTTTAGACTTATCCAAAGAGAAAATTGGATTTCTGGAGATTTTCTTCTGTGCAGAGCAATCCTGCTAAAGCTGTTTAGGTAGCCACTCTTATTGCCAGCTTTTCACTCTCAGGAGGATAAGCTACTACCAAAGCTAACTTCAAGAAGCACCTTAACCTCTCTGGCAAAAGATTCTACCCCCACTTAGCTGAAATATTCCAGGGCCCTAAGGAAATTCCGGAAGCATTTACCTATTGTCCCCAAAATTGCTCAGATTCTGTGAAACCAACTCGGGCGTTCATTTGCTCTCCGCCATCAGTTTCTATGACATCACCCTAATTTTTTGCTAAATTGAGTTTGATTTCCTTGAATCAAGAAATTTCCCAGCTCTGTGTATCTGTATAAATAGCCCTCAAAGCTCAAGAGTCTGAGAGCTTAAAAGCACTAACTAATGATAACAACCGCAAATGCCCTGGGCAGCATATAAAATGCCACATTCTGCTGAGTGCCCCTAATCACAGTCTAAAACTTTCATTTTCTTCCTATAACATTATAATAATAAAAGGTCGGGTTAGGCCTTTGTCTGCCTAGTAAAACAGGGTAATCAAACCGTTTAAACACCAGCCAGGCCTACCACCCAGATAGATTCTATTCTCGCTGTCTTACCCCTTTCGGAAATATTGTCTGAGTTATAATATGTTACTGCAAAACATTGTGTGCTCATGGGCTTCTTCCTGCTGATTAACAGGTTTTGGATTCAGGGAGACTGAAAGAATATGATGAGCCATATGTTTTGCTACAAAATAGAGACGGCCTATTTTACAAGATGGTGCAACAACTGGGCAAGGCTGAGGCCGCTGCCGTCACTGAAACAGCAAAACAGGTGAGCCCGCTGCAGGGAGTTGTAATTAAGGTTCGTCTCCAGGGTTCACTCCTCAGGATCTGGCACCAGGGGTCTGGTAACAAGCACTCTGTGCCCTTTTCAATGATAAGCCTCCAGAGACAAAGCTTCGTGACTGCACCTTAAGAGTACATTGCAGGGGGAGGACACGTCTGCTGAGAATCTGCAGAACTGGTGGGGGCGGGATGCAGGACGTGTGTGCGCACGAGAGAGAGATTTCGGATTGGAGCTTCCACACGTTTGGACTCTGGGGTCAGATCTCACAGAGCACAGAACACTCATTTTGCCGACCCTTCACATTCTTACGATTGGTGCTTAGCACATTTATGATGCTGTCAGGGAACATGCAGGAGATTTGAGAGTTTGAGAAGAAGAATTGGAGTGGAATATTACGAATTGGGTCTAGAAAGATCTACCAGGGAAAGGTGTAGGTCTCTTCTGGCTTCTAACTGTAAAGAAAACTCCTACGTGATAGCTGTCACTTTCCCCCTAATTCTTCGTTGTTTAGAATTAGGTCTGGTTGCCCCCCTATGCTTCCTGTACCTTCTAGAAGATGAAATTGTCATCAGGATAAATCAAGAATTCACGGTAGCCCTAACACTGTAGTCTGAATGGCGCTTGAAGGTTTACAAAGCGTTTCCACAGGTGAGGTGTGTGGAAGCACTAAGCACTGTACATGGTGTGAGAAAGGTGCTCGATGAGTAGCATTCAGGTCACCTGGTATCTCTCTAACAAGGGTGAGGTGGTAGTATCTCATACTACAAATGTGGTAACTGAGGTCTGGTAAGGGACTTAGCCACTGTCATGCAGCCAGCTGTAATTCTCTCTGGAATAAGATAGGAGTGGGATTGATGGAAGGATAGAGGGTGAGAAGAAAGGTCTGCTGTTCTTGCCCTTTCTGATGGGTGGGTTGGGGTGGGCTGAGGCCTCGGAATGGATGTCTTGAGGCTTTCCGTCAAAACTTTACCTCCGGGTGTTAAATTATGGGTGCATTTTTCCTTCTTTATACTTTTCTGCATTTCCCAGATTTTCACTTGTAAGTCGAATAAAAGTACTCTTTCAGTATTTAAAATATCTCTTAAAGAAAACGTCCCATAACGTTACCAACAAGAGATAGAATTAGAAATTTGTATGCTCCCATTATAAGACTTCAAAATAGTAAAATAGCTTATTTTTTAAAAAGAAGGGCAAAAATGGATAAAGCCGCAAGGAGAAATAGAAAAATCCACAATCAGTGGGAGGCATGAAAACAACTTTCTATCAGATTAATAGAGCAAGAAGAAAACTAGGTCAGGATACAGGAGATCTGAATAGTCAGTTAACCAATTGGACATCATAGGCATATACAGAATACTGGATCCAACAGTTGCCAGTTGCAGCACTTCCCTGGTTGGTCCAGTGGGTGAGACTGCGTTCCCAATGCAGGGGGCCCGGGAACAGCCTGCAAGGGCCGACCAGGTTTGATCCCTGGTTGGGGAACTAGATCCCACACGCATGCTGCAACTAAGGAGTCCGAATGCCACAACTAAGAAGCCTAGGATGCCGCAACTAAGAGTCTGCATGCCACAACGAAGATCCCATGTGCCACAACCTAAACGAGCAAACAAACAAACAAAACCGGGAAAAGAAAACATGTCCCAGTATCTAAGTAATTCTATATGAAACATTTATCTGAAATGTGGCCTGAATTCTCTGTCATTGTTCTATCTCATTCCTCCTCCTTAGAAATGAAGAGCGGTACCTTCCACTGTTTATAATGTAGGAAATTGTGCTGGGTCACAGAGCTGGCTGAAGAGTTTAGGGACCACGGAAGATTGTATTCTGAACTTTTCATAAGTACTTATATTGTATGTAAATAGAGAGAAGTTGCACTTGGAGCCCTATATTTTTTAATGCATGAAATTCACAGAGCGCTTTCATCTGCTAGAGTGTCTCCCAGTCAGAGCTTCCCTCCTAACATCCAATAATTATTTGGGATTCCCTATATAACCTAGTCACAGAACAGCCAGGAATCTCACAAACCCTTTTTTCTTTGACCTTAGGCATTTCACATCAGACACATGTGTCCTCACGTGTGAGTCAAAAGTCTCCACTTAGAAAATATGTAATGATTGTATATTATCAAACATTGAGCAATGAGAAATAGATCACAGCATTTAGGTAGGTACATAAGTTCAACACCTTCATTTTACAGGTAAGGAAGCTAAAGCCCCCTTAGAAGGAAGTGTCCATATATATACAAGTAGTGATGCTGCTACCGTGCAGCAGACACAGGATTAGAAATCTTTTCTTCCAATAAATGTTTTAAATCAAGTGTAACATACATAGAAAAATAGACATAGGTCATAGAATTAGATATCTTGTGATTCCTGGTATAGTAATCCTGCATGTACTTAAACAATATCAGTGGTACATTTGTGTAGTTCTTTATAATTTATTTTACATACTTCTGACATGTATGATTGCACTTAATTCTCATCACGGTCCTTTCTTATCCCAGGTCATGGATGAGGAGACTGGGTCCAGGGCTCACCTAAGGTCACAGAGCTGGTCCAGGGAGTGCAGGGAGTGAATTGGTGGGGGAGGCTGAGTTCCACCCTAGGCACTCTGCTCTGTGTCAAGCCTGAGAACGCTGCTCCTTTCATGTGGTAGCCAAGGCGGGGCCAGTCACCCAAGTTCACAGGGAGACAGAACATCACTCTTGGATTTCAGTCCTGCCACTGGCTCAGGTCACTTCTTCGGAAAGACATAGCAAAATAACATATCCTGATTCTCATCTCAGTTGAGTATCTTCTTGACGTTATTTCTACATATGCTTGATCCTCTTAGGAGAACAAGCTGTCAGGTTGTCAATTGTTTAAATGTGCAAGCATCAGCTATCGTTCAGAGCTGTAACACCGGGAGGATTAGCCTAAGTCAACAAGCTTTTCACTCTTAACAGAACAGAATTCATTCATTTGAAACGAAAACTCAACACCTGGGAAAACGTGCATCCAAGTCATGTTTTCTTGACTACATAGTTGATTCTCTGAAAATGGTGCACGCAAGCTGAGTCACTGTCTGATTGACCCTTTTAGATGATCCATGAGAGAAAGTACCTTTCAGATACATAAAGCTGAAGGGTACATTAGTTTGCTAGGGCTGCCATACAAAGTACCACAGAGTAGGCACCTTAACAGAAACTGATTTTCTCACAGCCCTGGAGACTGGAAGTCTGAGGTCAAGGTATAGGCAGGATTGATTTCCTCTGAGGCCTCTCTCCTTGGCTTGTAGATGCCATTTTTTTCTCTTTGAAAGAGAAAAAAGAAAGAAACATGATCTTTCGTCTGTGCGTGCCTGTGTCCTAATTGCCTCTTCTTATAAGGACTCCAGTCATATTAGATTAGGGGCCACTTATATGACTTCATTTTAACTGAATCGCCTTTATAAAGACCCTATCTCCAAATACAGTCACATTCTGAACAACTGGTGGGTTTAGGACTTGAACATATAAAATTGGAGGGGGGAGCTTCCCTGGTGGCACCGTGGTTAAGAATCCACCTGCTGATGCAGGGGACACGTGTTCGAGCCCTGGTCCAGGAAGATCCCACATGCCGCAGAGCAACTAAGCCCGTGCGCCACAACTGCTGAGCCTGCGTGCCGCAGCTACTGAAGCCGGAATGCCTAGAGCCCATGCTCCGCAACAAGAGAAGCCACCGCAATGAGAAGCCCGTGCACCGCAACTAAGAGTAGCCCCCGCTCTCCGCAACTAGAGAAAGCCCGCGTGCAGCAACAAAGACCCAACACAGACCAAAAAAAAAAAAAAAAATTGGAGGGGACACAATTCATCCCATAACAAAGGATAAATGCCTATCATTCGTTTTCTTCTGTGATGAAGCAGACCTGATTGAGGCTTTTTTGAAGTTTCTTTGTTGCCAGTGTGTAACAGAGGTTTCATTTTATCTATTCGTTTTATCACCAGATACAACCCCAAAATTATGAAATCCTAATATCCTAGATCTAGGACCCTGGACTGGTTTGAATAGTGCAGGAGGCACTTAGCAACCTCATGACCTCTTATGTTGCCCAAGGTCTCTGAGCCTCAGGGTCCTCGCCTGTATGTAGTGCAAGGATTACAGCACTGCCCGGCTCCTTCACACTTATTACAAGAATCAGATGAGAGAGTGCTTTGTGAATATTGAGCATTTTATAAGATAAAAGTCGCATCATTTTTTTTTCAGGCTATAGATTCAACCCTTATCTCCCAATAAGAAAATGTACCCACAGTTCTTCTAAGTAGCATTAGAGACTCTAAATAATTAAATTTTATTTTTAATGATCAGTTCTTAAAGAAATGATGTGTCTCATGCTACAAAATTCAAAAACTTTACTTTTTTAGAATAGGTTTTAAAATTTTATAAATGAAATTTAAGTCACTTTACCATTCCTGTCATTACACAGCTCCTCCCCCGGGGTGGAGCTCCAGCACCATCTTTGACTATTCTCTTGACATGTCCTGTGCTTCAGTAATAATTTGTGCCAATGTGGCCTTCCTGTTTTTAAGCACAAACGATAGCTCTTCCTTACTTTTTTCATTGGATATTATATCTATGTGCATAGTTATCTCATTCTGTTTAATGGCTACATGGTATTTATGCTTTCTCCATTCCCTACTCCTCATTTTCCCTTCTAATTAATTGTTACAGTTTTATGTTTATTTCCCCACAAGAGGAGCTCTAGTTCACTTACTATTTGTATTCTTCTTTATAATTTATCACCTTCTGTTATCTTTCTTTCTTTGGTTTATTTTATTGTTGCTTACTTCCTGAATGCATTTGTTTTTATTTTTTCTTATTTATTAATATAAATATTTCAAGGCTGTGAACTTTTCTCTGAATACTGTTTTAGATATATCCTACAGGTTCTGGTGTGTAGTGCTTTCATCATAGTTAGGTTTTTTGTATAGATTCTGCGATTCTGGCTTTCTTTTCCTCTTTGGTCCA